ATCTCAAAAAGAAGGGAAATCTGCTAATTTATTTATTTTTTAATAATACAAAATGTAAAGGGAATGAACTAATAAAATTTGATAATTAATTTAAAATAACTCTCCAATTAAAAAAGTATTCAATCTATTTTGCTATAGTGGCAGTAATCCCGTTTCATGTTCTGAACATCCAAGGGATAATCTCCTCTAGGATATGGTTTCCTATGGAGGTACTTAGTCCCTACATTAACTCAGTTATTGAAACTGAATAACTTTGCAAACGAACATCATTACAGAGGAATAAAAAGCTTGAAAATCCTGGAGATAACCTCACATTGAATGACATAATCCGCAAAGGCTAGGAAAAAGAAGCGGACTGCTGATCCCGCTCAGCCGGGAATCTCATTAAACGACTTTAACAGCCGCTAGTTCTTCCTTCATTCCCCCCACCCCACTCACTCCCCCCTCCCAACATAGATTAAAGCCTTAAACCCTTTCATTTTCTTTTTCTGTATTCTTTATTCCCTCGCTGATTGAATTCTCCTACAATAGTGAAGTCTGGTTGTACGCGTACCAGATTCTCACAGAATAAGTATGTTAGTTGCCCATTAATAACTATGTAAATGTCATTTGTTTATGTTTTCATTTAATTTCCATTTATTTTAGTTCTAGAAGGGGGCTGTTTCTCGTAATTTATTTTAAATAAAATAAAAAATCAAGAATCCCCGAAAGAGATCCCCGAAGAATGGAAATAGGGTTATATCACTCCAGTTTTCAAAAAAGGCCAAAAGAAAGACGTTTCCAACTATAGAGGTATTACTGTTACCAGCTCGCTGAGTAGATTATACGGCCGGATAATTAAAAGCAGAATTGAAAATGATTTAAAGGAAGAGATCAGCGAGGAACAGGCCTGTTTTCGAGCTGGAAGATCATGCACTGATCACATTTTTAGTCTCTCACAACTTATAGAAAAGAGGATGGCCCACGACCGTGAACTCCATATGATATTTGTAGATTTACACAAGGCCTATGATTCAGTACCTCTAGCGAAATTGTGGAAAGCTTTGGAAGCCACATCTATTAAGAGATACCTCATCAGAGCAATTCAAGAGCTCTATAAAAATATAAAGGGGGCTATAAAAATAGGAGATAGAGTGTCTAGAAGCTTCTTCATTAACAAAGGATTGAAACAGGGCTGCTGCCTTTCACCCCTGATTTTCAACATTTACATAGAACAAGCCCTTAAAAATTGGAAAAGATCGTGCTGTGGAATGGGTGTTCAAATCGGGAATGATGTCATCTACAATTTGCAGTATGCCGATGATCAAGTCATAATCGCATCGGATCCGGATGATGTTAGCTATATGATGAGGAAGTTGCTGGACACGTATTCCAGATGGGGTCTGAAAATCAGTGAAAGTAAAACAGAGTATATGGTTTTCAACGCTCCAAATTTGCCCCTTGAAATTGATGACTGGACGCTAAATGTCAGCCAGCAGTTCAAGTACCTCGGATACTGGCTATCTTCAAAGGGTGGTAGTGAGGTTGATATCGAACATAAAATAAATAATGGGAAAAGAATAATAAGTTCGATAAATTCAACCCTATGGAGTAAAGAGATACGATTAGAAACTAAAAAGAAGATATACCATTCCTTTGTAGAAAGCGTAGCCACTTACGGATCAGAAGTCTGGACACTGACAAAAAAGATGGAAAATAAGCTGCTTTCCATGGAAATGAATTTCTGGAGAAGAAGCTGTGGCATATCCAGAATCGAGCGGATCCCAAACGCAGCTATTAGAGACAAGGTCGGATGTCAAAAGAACATCCTTCACCTGATCGGGACCAAACGGTTAAAGTGGTATGGCCACTTAATGCGGATGGATGAGAACCGCTGGCCAAAGAAAATCTATAACTATATGCCACCTGAAGCGTGGAAGGCCAAAGAAGAAATGGACAGAGGACATGGAAGAAAGCATGGCAGCCAGAGGGCTTCGTGAGGGAGATTGGATGGACAGGGAGCAGTGGCTTTTGGGTGTTGGGGATATGACTCCTTAAGTTGTGCAAAACCCAAATAAAAAAATAAATAAATAAAAAATAGTAGTTGAGTAACTATGCTATTAAAAAAAAATTCCTAGAGGACAGCTATAAAGTTTTCTCTTCCGGTACTCAGTGGGACCGATCGCCGATCTAGGAAGACAAAAACAACTTCAAAATATGAGAAATGTAATATTACATCCTTTTTATAGATTTTTGGAGACCTGAAAAGTGGCCTAGCAAAGCTTGAAAGTTCGTTTAAACTCTCACTGTAGGTTACGAAACAGTGAGGTTTGGGCGAGCAAGCCTCCTATATCTGTTGACAAATAGTTCCAGCTCTTTATTTATGGATCAAATCAGTACCTGTGTGCATTATTGCTTGAGTTTGATTTTAATAATTCAGTTTAAAATTAATCCAAACAAATCTCAACAAGTTATTTTTACCCTTCGCCGTAAACCTAGAACATCCTGTTCTACCGTATCCTTTAGCAATATTCCACTGATCTCTGTCGAATAGATCCGTTACCTAGGACTCCTTCTTGACAAACGCCTTACCTGGAATCCTCATACTATACTTAAAAGACAAGAAACTGCCAACATATTCCGACTACTACAACACTTACTTGACAAACGCTCTAAACTTCCAATATTCTACAAAAAACCTCATTTATACTACCATCATTTGGACATACGATATTGAGCTTTGGGGCTCTACAAAAACATAAATTCTTCCCGTTTCCAATCCTTACAGTCCAAAATCCTCCGTAAAATCCTATTGGCCCGAACTAGATATACCTCTTTTCATTCAAAACTCTTTGGTCACCCCAATCCTCTAGTTTGTTACCTTTCATCCAACACAATTCCTGACAACCCTCCGAGGCCTCTGAAAATAAGATGGTCAAGGGACCTTCTAAATTAATTTATCTTTGTAGTGTTACCAATGGGTAGCTTCTTCACAAGTACCTTCATGTTATATATTTCTATAGCAAATTTACTGGTTGTATATATGTTTACAGTTGTAAATTTCAATAAAAAATAAATAATTAAAAAATAATTCAGTTAATTGTCTTAATTTTTCAATGGATTAATTTAGGATCCAGCAGTTATATGTTGGCTAAAATTGCATTTAAAAATGGCTATGATCAAAACTTTGAAATATATAAACAACATTTATATTATATTATAGTCTATCAAATACACTTGTTGGTATCCCGCCGCTACAATTTTTTATCTCAGTTTGTAGAATTTTTTATATTCGTTAAAAAAATCATCAAATTTTTCGCAGCTTTGGGCTAAGAATTGTTTTTTATTAATTATTTCAGAAAACGTAAACAAAAGTTCTGGAATCGAATTGTTTATATCTTAATTTTATATTATCTTACCTTTTGAATGATAAAATAAAAATTACGCAGATTTTAAAGACAACTCAGCCCTATTTATATACAAAATAAATGAGCGTTAAAAGAATGCTCACAAAATGATTTTTTTTTTAAGTGAAATATGTCGTAGCTGTAGCATATTTTGTAGATCTGATAATAATTGATAACGACAACCAGTCTCCTCGAGGTTTCGAAGGAACAAGGACACTGAATAATGTTTTTCCGATTGCTTCAAAAAAAACAACTAATGAGCTAAAAGTACAGAATATAATATTTTAGGGCTATGCATTTTTACGGGATTATGAATTTTTGAAGTAGCCAAATATTTACAGACTGTGTAGACTAGGAAAAAAAATGAAGGAAATTAAAGGAAAATTTAAATTGCGTTTAGGGAGCGATTATGAGGGACTTCAGTCAGAGAGTGAGCTTTCTAATGTTGTTGATTATACGGTTAAGGAAACTTGAAGATTAAATAAATTAGAATACATACATACCAGTTTCCTGTTTATTAATATTATTGTTAGTTTTTTTATTAATTATTAGGAATTATGATTTTAAATTCAATATAAATTAAATTTTCGCTATAAATTAGACTTATATTGACCTAATTAAGACAATACAAATTTTATTTGTGACAAATATGTCAATTTTTATTCGAAATTTATGTTCAGTGAATTTAGTCCTCCTAGGTCGGATGTCAGCCCCAGTGTGCGACAGTTATTTAAAAAAAAATTTTATCTGGTATAAACGTATTTCCATCAACTTAGTGACACAAGAAATATTTTTAAAATAATCTAATCATATGTTAAATGCGGTAATTTTGTGACGACATTGATTAGTTAATCAAATTAAATACAGGAAAAATGTATTTGCTCGCCACACATTTTCATCATTTTTTATGAATTCCGTTATAATTACACACATTCCTCCACCATTCGCCCTCCCTTAAGATCGGAATTTTTTGTCCGTACGTGCATGTTATTTTTAAATTATAATCAAAATTTTCAATTGAATTTATACTAGAGAGAAATACTTTATTGAAAGTAGTGATGCCCTACTATATAGGGTTGCTTTATACACAGCATACTGATTAATCCACATGGACATAGCTCTTACATCTTTTATTCCATTATTTGATAAACATATTTTTTTTTTCTTTCTCCCTTTTCATAAGACTGGTCATATACATATCATTAATATACCACATTTAACAATTACTACATAACGCATACATTGTCTGAAAAAAAAAGTATTTGAATGCTAGAAATATAAGACTAAATCGCGCAAACATATACAACGCAATTCCATGAATACAGAAAGACAAGACAAAGTTTAGCCTATACTTATTATTGTGTAACTCAAATGAATTTTTTAAATATTTAAACTCATTACATAAAGAAAAAATGTGATGTGCTATTACATTTTATCCCTGCTGTCAGTAAAACTTGTGTAATGTGCCCACAGGACCAGCTTTTTTTTTACCGATTGTTTGTTAATTATTATTAGAATTTTTAATTAAATGGTTTACGCGTTTTATTTTACTTAAAATGTTATTTAAACCTATCATCTTCTTCATCCATCAAAGATGTAAAACCTCTAAAAGCCATGAGCCTTTTCCATCTGCTCTTCCAATTAGCCAAAAGGACTGTCGGGCACAGGAGTCGTCTGGGGGAAGGGGGAGAGACAGTGCCGAGGGAAATTGTTTTTAGAGAAGGAAGAGAAAATGGTAAGAAAAGTGGATAAGTTAAATAATTGAAGAGGTGTACAGGCAGGACATGTTTATACTGGGCCCTGGGGGAGCTTGCATACAGACAGCCACTGAGCTGGTCCAAGGCTCATTTATTCATTGCCCTTAACTACCCCGCGTCATGGCTACTGTTTATTTAAATAAGGGATATCTACTGAGACCCCCTCCCATCCCATAACTACATCATATCCAGGCCAGATTAGTATTTTAATTTCACATCGCTACTAGATTAGACTTGCCACTTTATATTTCTGTTGAATAATGGAGGAGGGTGTTATTGTAGTTTAACTGCCTCTGGGTGGTAGTTTCCCTTGATTTGTGTCCGACATTCTTCGGAAATTATTGTAACAATTACATTACGATGTGTATACAATTGACTCCGTTGTGGTATCCAGTACAATCTCGCTAATCCAGCGGAGAAGATATTAGAGATTTTTTTTAATGTGGAACACTTAATAAAACAAGAGCTTGACCATTTATTTGGCAAAATTAGAGAACACTGCATACCCTTCTCTCTCGTATTTATTCTTTTCTATGTTCCTCTAAAGTAATCAGCGTTGCATATGTTTTTAAAAAAAATTAAATTCTGTCAAGTTTTATGTATACATATATATATATATATATATATATATGTGTGTGTGTGTATATATATATATATATATAATGTATATATATATATATATATATATATATATATATATATATGTGTGTGTATATACATATATATATATATATATATATGTATATATATATATGTAATGTGAAAACAGGAAAAAAGAAATTTTTGAAATTTAAAACATAATTACAAGATCCACTAAGTTGTTTTATCTAAACAATTTTTTTTTAAAACGTTTTTTTTTTTTTTGTTTTTTTTCCCTTACCCTCTCCAAGAAATTTTAATCAACTACATCATCAATTATATCATTACGACTATCTAATTATTATATCATACAACCAACTAATTAATATCTAAAAAGTGTAAATTTCTCAGATATTAGAATATTATCCTGCCAACAAACTTGATGATAAAAGATTCTTTGAATAATATGGCTACAATTTTTTTTTTTATAAAGTAAAGTCGTTAAAATGATTTGAGTCGCTTATTTCTTAAGTGAACTGAAATAGATTTGTAACGAAATTGAGATAAGTTTCGATTCTCATGTAAAAACACCCAACAACATGAATCCGGTGGTGCCATTATTTTTTTCATTAACTAACCTAAATATTAAAGAATAAAAATTGGATTGAAAATACGTGGTAATGTAATTATATTTATGGTGTATTGTAATTATTTTTGTAGTATAGTAATTTTTTTTAATATCTTTTCACTTTTCTTTCCCATCGAATCATGCACCTAAGGAAACCCCAATAAACCTTTCTTATTGTTCAAATACGGGCCTTAAATTTTAATTCTTTTCAAAAGAGGCCCTATTCAAGTCCCAATGTTTTTTTAATTACTACCGGAATAATCTGTGATTTTCGGAAATATGTTCTATAAATATAGAATTTCTTAATTATTTTTTTTTAATATTTGTTTTTGATTTTACGATTTTTTTTTTTTATTCCTAACGATTCAATATACTTCATGATTTTCAATACGTTTAGGCTTATCACTGCTTGCAGAACGCCTCAAGAATCTTACACAATGTCTTATGAGATATGGATAAGTAGCTCGTGATTATCAACGTTTCTTCCAGCCATAATAGAACAGAGAGCGATCTATTTTTATGTTCTAAATGATCCAGATATATAACAAGGAGTTAAGGGATAGAAATTCGATGATTCTCTCTAAAATGTAATATCTTAATATAGATTCCTAGAATTGACGGCTTATCTGTAACACAGCATTATTTTCAATAGCAAGTTTCTAAAAACTTAGTTATAAATGTCTTGATTCTTATTTAGGTTTGCCAAGATTCACTGTCTCCCTCCTCTTATAATTGAATACTCAAGGGAAACCTTCAAGTTTCACAGTCTTAATTAACTTGACAGATACGCATCAGATTACTCCAGGGCCCTTGGTAAAGCAAAGTGGTATATCTTAGATGATAAATATCGTCTCACAATGTCTATTTAAATAAAAAATAACAAAATATGTACAACACTAAACTGTTACACTGTTTTAACAATCAGTTTTAGACTGATTTACTAATAATAAATATTTATTTGTTTACAGCCACGACCGTGAGCAGCCCTTCACCTTCCAGCTCGGTGTGGGACAGGTCATCAAAGGATGGGACCAGGGCTTGGAGAACATGTGCGTCGGCGAGAAGAGGAAGCTGACCATTCCTCCAGAGCTGGCCTATGGTGACAGGGGAGCAGGAAACGTCATCCCAGGAGGTCGGTAGAGTCAAGATTGCTGTATAGTGTAGAGTAGTAGTCTTTGTTTTTAGAGTCGTTGAGAGTAGTTTATAAACTTTTTTTCTATTCTTTAAGTCTTTTGATTCTCTGTTACCAACTTCTTTGAAAAATATAACTATAATTTGTATTGGTTATTGTATAAACATATCGGTTGGAAAGGCGAGCTGGCCTAAGGGATAGGTAGGTATATTCCAAGCTCAGTCTCGTATGATCAGGGGTGCCCATCCTCCCCCAAAGGTCAATGGCGCAAGAACTGGCCCCCTCCTTCCAAGATATTTTGTTGCTTACCTTTCCTTAAAAACAGAAGAAGCTAAGGTAGAATTAGAAAAATCGTAGATCATATACAGTTACACTTTCTGCTGTCTGTTATATGTTCCCCAATTGTCCCTTAGTCTGAAATTTGACTTTGGCCTGAGTCAAAGTGACTCTTGGCTATAATATATGTATGCTGAGAGTTTCTTTCCCTTAAACTCCTCTTAAAGAAAACCATCATTCTGGAAATATTTTGATAGCGAACCTCTATGTTTCATTAGTCACTTTTTCTGTAAAAATATTTTATAATGCTTGTTATACTAATTTTCATGGCAGCTATTTCGTATTTTTCTTATTTCGAGTAATCAAAATCTATTTTCGCTAACATTTATATAACTTTATTTCACATGGTTACTCCAGAACTGTAATAAATATGTAGGCCTAGATTTTTTTTTGTTCACATATTTTTTCATGACTGATTTCTTATTGGTTATTTCATCTAATATAGTACTTACAAAACTATATTATTCCTAAAAAGGCAATATTTTAGATTTATTTTGCATTTGCAAAGTAAGGATTACTGTTTGTTGAGCTATAACTTGAAGATTTTCAACCTTTTTGAAAGAAACTAATTACGATATAAAGCTCACTTTAATCTCTCCAAATTTAAATTAAGTGTTCCCCTCTATCCCCCCGTTCTTAACAATCTCTCCCTTCTTAAACAATTGCCCTACTTTCAGTTTTGAGCTGGCTAGGCCCTTGAAAATACTGAAACGTTTACCAGAGTGAAGTGAAGTTTATTTGAGTAATCTTTGAAATGAATAATAATTCTTATATTGTAGAAACCATATTGTTTCTCAATAATTTTGGCCTCTGTTAAAGATTTTCAGAGTACTCCTTGCCCAAATAGAGAAGATCGACCTGTGGAAGTATGTGATCGGTCTTATTTTATTGGTCTAAGTGTACACTATATCTGCGAGCCCTATGAGTTTGACTAATTAAAATCGGATTTGGTACTTTTATTCAGATTCTAAATTTTCCTACTTCAATTTGAATTTATAATTGGGACGCTTATTTCCAAAGTGTGCTCTAATCGATTTTTATATAAATTATGATAAGTAACGATTCTCGTGTTAGAGGAACTTCAATAGACTGGTGGAGCTGCTTGCTGGGTTATGCTGATGACTTTTACATAATGACAAGACCGAAACGAGCCCTAAGGGAAGCATTTCTCGCCCTCGATGAATAAAAAAGTTGAATTAAGAGTAAATTAGAAAAAAAAAAAGTATATACAGGTTGAAGGGCTAAGAAACCACGAGGAGTGCTTTCAGGTACGACAGTACTGATTCCAGTTGGTCAATAACTTTGTCTACTTGGGAAGCGAGATAAACTCCCAAAACGATATCTCCCAAGAAATTAAGCTTAGAAGAATTAAGATAATAACTGCTAACAGGTGCTACTACAGCTTATCAAAAAACTGCAGGAGACTGTATCTTTCAAGGAAGACAAAAATCAGCCTGTACAAAACTACTATAGTCTCCCAAAGCTCCCCCTCTCCCCGTAGATCCGCCTTTGGTCCGTCCAGTACTACTATATGGACCGGAGGCATGGGCCATTAAGAAGGCGGATGAAAACGGCTCTTTTTGTTCGAAAGAGGGATACTGAGGAGGATATATCGGACCATCAAAGTAGGTGAGACACGGAGAAGACGAAAGAACCAAGAATTGCGTGGGCTCTTTGAAGATAGCGAGATCTCCAAAATCATAAAACTGGGAAGACTTATATAGACTAGCCAGAATGGACAATGGCGGTATTCCGAAGAAAGTGGTCACAGAAGAGATCTTAGGGAAGAGGAGAGTGGTAGGGCGGAACCTAAGGTGGATGGATGGTGTGACTGAGGATGCTAGGACTCTTTTAGGCGTGTGGGACTGTAGGACTGCTGCACAGGATAGGGCCAATTCGCGGAGGTTACTTGAGGCGGCCCGGATTCGGTGACGAGTTGTTGTGGCTTTGAGTATGTATGTATCGATTCTCGTGTAAAATTATCCGGTGTTACTGGTTATTAAATTTTTTTTTTTTAATATTTAAAATATGTAAATATTTAAAAAATTGGTGTGAAAGTTCCAAAGGAATTTGGAAAGGAGCCTCTCAAAAAGATCTCTATTCAAGTTCCAATGTTTTTTTTAATTACTACTGGCAGGATCAGAGATTTTCAGAAATATTTTCTACAAATAAAGAATTTCTTAATTTATTTATTATTATTAATATCAATATTAATGTAAATTATAATAATATTATTTGATATTACAATTGGAATAGAAAATGCGGTGTTTCGCATTTTCTGAAAAAATATTAATTATTATTAGGATTCACTTTGGAAATAAACTACTCAATTGTCATACGAATACTATCAATCAAAAATATTTTTTGTAAAAAATAAGGTAAATTTTATATTGGAATTTATACAATTTCTGCTGTTAATTTAGTGTCTTGAGGTTTCGTAGTACCTTGATTTTCAGAATTTCAAACTTATTATTATTAAAATTATTGAATGTTAAATGTTCTCAGGTGCTACACTGACATTCGAAGTCGAACTGATCAACATCGGCGACCAGGCGCCAACCACTAACGTCTTCAAGGAGATTGACGCCGACGCTGACAAGATGCTCTCACGTGAGGAAGTTAGCGAGTACCTAAAGAAGCAGATGGTGGCCGCCAGTGAAGGAGGGGAGGCCTCGGAAGAAGTGAAGCAGATGCTGGAGGAACACGACAAACTCGTCGAAGAGATCTTCCAACACGAAGACAAAGACAAGAATGGGTTCATCTCCCACGAAGAGTTCTCTGGACCGAAGCATGACGAACTCTAATTCCAAACTGATTGTTGATAATATTTGTACAAAGTCATAACCTCTTCCCCCGTTTTCAGTCTCATGCATGCTCAAATGTCTATCTTTCACTTCCACTAAGGAAAATGTACATATCACGTTTTGTACAGACTCGTACACACTACTCATTCCATATTTATAAGCTCTTTTATTTTTCAAACTAACTTATTAGTTTTATCTTCCAGATTACAATATTGTTTTGCATTTATTTTAAGAACATATTTGTAAAAATGTTAAATAAACAGTATATTATGCAACGAGACTGCTTTGCAATTTTATAATATAAATATATTTATGTAAGTATATGTTAATGTGATCCATTCCATGTGCAATTACATGATATATGTGTTGTTAAATTTTGGAATAATGGTTTATTAATAAATTTTGTTACAAAAATGGTAATTATTATTTTTTTTCCTAATGGACCACTATTGTTCATCCCTATTAATAGTAACAAATTTTTAATACATTCATGTTCTTGGCTCAATTGAATCACTGACATGGAACCTGTATGATATATTTAAAATACAGGAGGTTAATAGACGATACGCTCAACAATATAAAATACTATTCCTCGTCAGTAATAATTTACAATACCTACTATTCTGAACATATATACCAAAAAGCTTGCCAAGCTTTTGAAGCAGAATTAATTCAAAATAAGTCGAAAATCATTATGCAAAAAGTGATTACTATTTACTTATTTCTATAGAGAAATTAATTAATTAGGAAGTGAAGTTGAAAGAATATACTATAATTTCCATTATCTATATTAAAGTGGAAAGAGGTCCACCTTAAGGACAAAATAATAACTATACAGTATATACAACAAATAAAAATCTGGTGTGGTGATAAAAATCACACAACTTTTACTTGGAATCTGTTAAATTTATATGTTTGCATCACTTTACCTTTACGACTGTGTATAGTACCAAACAATACTAATGATTGTGGGAGAAAATAGATCTTTGGGAAAAATACTGAGTTTTATCGGAAACATTTATCACGAAACTCGTCTAAAAAATTACTTAAAGTTAGTAAATACTCTATATTATTAGGTTTATATAAGTAGAATCCCAACATCGCGTTAACACCTTTTTAGATAGTTATGGATAAGTGATACATAAAAGTTAAACTAACAATATGAAAGCCCTGTGCAGAGGGGTAAAGGGTCAGGGCGCTCTCGGCTGTTTCCGTATAGCTTCCGACTCTCATTTTTGTGAAATGATTAATCTGATGCGGTGCGCGCATCACACAACTTTCACTCCCCACCCTCTTCTTAGCAGAAATAAGTATTTTCAGACAAAGCGAAGTGATAGTAAAAATTATAGACCCTATATTTCATTGTGGGTATTTTTATTTGTCTAGGTACCCTCATATATACAAATTTTAATATTTATATAACTGTAATCTATAGCATATGCCAATACCAATGCCAATGATAGCATTTATGAAAACCACATATGCATATTTGTATAATATTGTCGGATTCTGTATTATATTAATCTTATGATACTATGGAAGTCTGTTCTAATCTTTTGGGCGAGCTTGGTTTCGCTGGTATTCCTTTGGTTCCTCAATTACAACTATTCTCCGTTACCTCTTATTCCTCCTTTAGTTATTTATCAAATTTGCTTTCATATTTTATATTTAACCATTTTTCATATTAGAAATTAATGTGAAATGGTCAATTGCTTCAAATAAAAAAAAATTAAAGGTACTTAAGAGGAAGCTAATATTGAAAACTAATCATTTAAGCCCTTTTAGAGAACATCAATCAGAATAATAACCACATTTTATTTCAAACTGCTTAATTTTACACAGATATGATGAATTTAATCAAAATCGTTAGACCGGTTTTCAAGATAATCGTAAAAATGTGTTTAGTGCATTATATAAAGTACTACTTCCGCTTAGCCGATTTTGACGAAAAAGTTGCTGTAACATCCCTAGCATATAAAAACCTTAAACATGCAATTTCACTTCCCTACGACTTTTGGTTTTTGAGCTATAACACACACACAGACCAATTTGCGGGACTTGGTTATTTGGACTCAGGGGACATCAAAACGTGTATTTCCGTTGAAAACTCAGAATCAAAAATTTTTACGATCGCAATACTTATCCTTGCTATATATTGCATATATAGGTAAGTGAAAGTAAAAAATAAGAGGTACTTTAGGGGAAGAACTTTTGATATTTATGTATTTAAAATCTGTTCGAAAACATCTTTACATTAAGATATGAGCAACATCTTGAGGTTTTTGATAATAAAGTATTGCGTAGAATATTCATCGCGGAGAATCAAATAGGTTTGTATAATAGTTGTGCTTAGTAACGAAAGAATTCCTAAAATATTGATATTTGCTGTAGCGAATGGTAAACGTCCGAGAGGCACACCGAAGAAAAGGTAGGAAGATTGCGTAAAAGCCGACCTGAAGGGACTGAGTTTAGACGGCGAACGGTGGAGGGAGGTGTGTAATAAGCAATTGGTTGTGACAGCATTGAACCTCCGGGTTCGCTAAGCCTTTTATCATTTATCGAAAAAATCATTGAGAATAAGGCCTACATTACATGAAAAACCACTTAATTTCACACTGATACAATGGATTTAATCAAAATCGTTGGAGCCGTTTTCAAGAATTGTAAAATCGATTATATAAAGTGGCACTTCCGGTTAGCCGATTTTGACGAAAAAATTGCTGTAATATTCCAGGCATGTAAAAACCTTAAATACGCAATTTCATACAATGGCGTACGACTTTTTTGACGCTTTTGAGCTAGACTGTTCACACACATACACAGACCATTTTGCTGGACCTCGTCATTGGACTCAGTGTACCTCAAAACATGTATTTCCGTTGTAAACTTAGGTTCCGAAATGTTCACAATCGCAATATTTTCCCTTACTATGTAGGTGAGTACATATGTAGTGATATTACATATGTAGGTGAGTGAAGGTAAAAATAAAATAACTTAAAGATCAGTAAATTAAAAAAAAAATCAGCAGGAATAGCTATATGCACTATTTTTTATCAGACGAGAGAACTTCGAAGAAGGTTTGGCCTTCTTAGAGGGAAACTGTAGGGAGGAACAGGGAACTGTAGAGGGTAAAGCAGGACCCTATTACTGCACTACTCTCTCAGCTGCCGTTTTATCCTTCTCGGAAGATTATAGAAATAATTGTGCTAGGCGGGTTCATCAAGGAGTTGTGATAGGGATTGTGCAATGGAATGATACGCAAGATTCCGGTGAAATTTGGAGATTTTTTATGTGATGTTGAGGTCATGGTGTATAATTTTGTTGGTTATATAGAATGGAGCATCGATTATTGTGCGAAGAATATTGGACTAAGTGCGATTGGATGCGTTTGATGTTAGACAATTCTGTCTTCCCCCATAGTTCTACGAGTAGTCCGTAGATCCAAATAGTTTTCAGGATTCTCTTGTGGATCAGTAAATTGTCGACAGTTGAAAGTTGAGATTTTCTAGTAGGCCATTTTTATAGTTGGGCGTATCGTCGGTTAAGTTCTTCTCATTTTAGTCTAGTACGTGGGTTACACGTTAATCTGAGAGAAAGCCAAGATACCGACTGTTTATGAGAAAAGAAGGTGGATGGAGTTAAAATAAACTGGTGGACAGGATCTGCGTTGAAGAGTAAAGGTGACCTGTTTGCATATGGATTATTTCACTTTTATGTGTCTCTTGCTACACTAAGGTTCAATAAGGGAAAGGTACTTTAAGAGAAGTTGTCGAAGGATCTGAGAAGTAAGGAGGACGTATCCAGGAGATTTACGGGGAGGTATTTTTTTAAAGTGATGTTTGACCTCAGAAGGATTAACTGCTTCAGGAGGTAAGGCGAGTGGGAAGGATGAAGTAAAGAATTCTATTTTTGTTGCGGTGTAGGTGGGGTTGGATTTCGGCTGAGAAGTGAATGTACAGGAAAGGTGTTTGGAAAATTCCTTGGCTTTATCTTCATCAGAGGCTACTCAAGAGTATGAAACAGGATGAGGTTTTAGGATTTTTCTAGTTATCTTCAATAGAGAGTTGTCGAAGATTAAGGAAGAGAGAGAAGGAACAAAGAAGAAAGTATGGAAGGAGATGAAGGATTGAGATCGGAAGGTGACAGATATCTGCTTCAATTTTTTACAGTAGTAATTATACGAGTGGCTGGTAGGGTGTCTGGTACTTTGCCATAATAATGTGGTTCGGTGTTTGGTATAAATTAGCTCTATGATGCGTTGAGGTAAATTGTTTTATTTTGGGATTCCAGAGGATTGATTTTGGAGAGGAAGCAGTCAAGATTGCTTGTTGAATAGTAGTGGTAAATTAATGTATGGCATTGTCCTGGTCTTCTGGGGCTTTCAGAGTTATTCATTGATTAATGTTGTTGGAAAGGATTTCATCAAAGAGTTTCCAGTAACTGGGTCTCTGATAAAGGACGTTGGAGAGGGTTTAGGAATAGGACATTGAGATAATTGGAATATTAATGGACTATGATCAGAGGAAAGTTCATGGTTCGGTAAGGGAGTGGTTGAGAGGTCCTAAATCAATGTGGATGAAAAAATCAAGGATATCAGGATTACGGTAAGGATCAGTGGGTCTATAGGTAGATGAGTTGGGAGGGAGGATACTAAAACATTGGGAATTGAGTGCAGATATCAATGTTCTACCACGATAATTCGTGGTTCTTGAGCCCTATTATTGATGCTCGGCATTTAAGTCTGCACCTAGGATGAATTGACGTTCCAAGGAGTTGAGGAGAGAATTAAACTGGAGATTGGATATAGATCTGTTAGGAGGGCAATAGGCTTATGCAATGATGACCGGGAAGGAGAAGGTTTTAATTATAATGGCTGTGGATTGTAAGAAATCATGAGTAGGTAATGGGAGTAGGAGATGAGAGAGAGATTGGTGGACAATGAAATCAATACCGGTATGTGTTCTGCCGTCAGAATGGTCAGTACGGCATGTTATGTATTT